TTGAAAATTTCTTATTGAAATGGCAAAAGCATTATTCATATTTAAGTCAATTAGTGCTGCAAAAAAAAAAAAAAAAAGGTGAACTCGATTTGGGCTGGGTCGATTTAGGGTAGGAACCGGGTTGGTAAAGAGTCCAAAATCGAGTATGTCGGGTCAGTTTTGGGCCAAACCCACCCCAACCTGATGCCTACCCCTAAGTATAGCTGCTTTTTGCATCATGTCAAAATTTTAATTTATTTTAAAAATTGTAAAAAAAACAAATAAAGAGAAAATTCAATCGACAAGACTCGAGTCAAGTTGAGCTAGGGCAGGTTAGTCTAGTTTAATGGACCTAACCCATTGCAATCCCTATTGCATGATGAACTCAGCTATGTTGATGACTTTGAACATACCTATCATATTTCAATCATGTTATATGTACATCTGTTTATATCATTGTTTACACTGTGATATGTGACAACACACCATTAGAATTTAAAAAAAAAAAAAACATTTTGAACCTACAATTTTTGAAAACAAAGGGAACGTCAACATGAATGTAAGGGAAAGAATGTAAAAATAGCATTATTGGCCTTTGAAAAAAAAAATCATATATGCTCATTAAAAAAAAACAATCTTGCTACATGTAAATCAAGTTCAATACCAAATTTGACATTGTTGTGAGGTGACAATTTTTTATACATTGATTTTAACAACACTTTAAGCAATTAATAACACAGATTTTGACACATCACACAATGTCAATCTTTATGTACACTTTGAATGTACAAATAGCATAATTGTAAAAAGAATTCTATAAAATTCAATTACTGTGTTTATATTCATTATATACTATATTGCTATAATATTTATAACAAAAATACTGACCACTATTATTGAGACACTAAGTGCACGTCACATGCAAAACTTTCCTTCTGGCGAGAGAAAATCATGGAGGCGATTTTGGGTGATTGAGTTAGTTCTTTCCTTCTGGCTGCCGACGGAGTGACGGCGCCTCCCCAGCTGGGCCTTTCGGTAATGACGAGTATGATGGGAGAGACGTCGACGGGACCTGTAGCACTGGCAAACAATGTTCAACAAGGGCAATCTTTCTTGGAGGCTACAAAACACTCTGTGTGTGGGGAGATTCCGGCAAGTCAACCGCTGCAAATGAGGAGACCAAAGTTGATTGAAGGAGAACTAAGCTTCATCTTTACGGATTTAGAGGTAAAGCGTTTGGTAGAGGATTTCAGATTTGCCTTAGTTCTTAAATTCTTATCCTTTAGACGGAACATCGATCTGGTTCGAGCGGCCATAGCCAAAACTTGGGGGCTGCGGGAGGTTCCTGTGGTTAGTCATATGGATGCTTCAAACGTTTTGGTAAAAATGAAAAAGGAGGGAGATTTCTAACATGCTAGGGCAAGAGAAGACAGATTTGTGGTTGGTGCTTCATTCAAACTATTCAAGTGGACTCTAGATTTTAATTTCCATAGGGAGTCATCATTGGCTCCTCAATGGATTTTTTTACCTGGATTTCCACTTCATCTGTACCGATAAGATTGCCTTCGTATCCTAGCAACGTGATTTGGCTGATACTTGGTACAAATCATGCTACTTTAAATCGCACACGGGCCTCTGGTGTTCGTATCTGTGTGGAAATTGATCTATTGGTTGAGTGGTAGAATGTTTTTCGATCACAGTGGGTTCGATGACTCTTTGGCAACTTGTTAAATATGAAAAACTGGGCTTTTATTGTAAAAAAATGCAGGAGACATGGTCACATAGAGGCTGTTTGTAGAGTGGGTCAACAATTTCATAATTAGAAAATGAAGAAAGTCTCAACTATTGTTCCGGAAAAACAAGAGTGGAGACGTGGGTAGTGGTATGGGGATAGAAAAATGATATATGCATGAGGGTGGAGATATGACTAAGTTGGATGCTAGTGTTTTTAGTGGCACAATCCACGAGCAATAAAGTGATAATATAGAAAAGGTTGGTAAAAGTAGTAGATGAATAAATCTGATTGTTGATAATGATAAGGAGAAAAGGAATGTCACGGAGATTGAATTAGGGAGAGATAGAAATATGGATGAGGATAGAACTGTAGCTTCGAAGACTAGTGGGATCGAAATTGCTAAGCTTGGAAGAGGTACTCACGTAAACCTTTAGTGGATGGGGAACAAGTGAGGGAAGGAGGAGAAATAGAGGATAGAGAGAAGATCATAAATGGAGATATGATGGTCACGATCGAGGGTAACGAACAAATAAATGTAATGGCCACACACATAATGGTAAGGACAGAAGAAGATCAAGGTGTCAAAGAAAATGCTGAGGAATTACAAGAGGACTCTAGGGATCATGACAATGCAGATGAGGCTATTACAATGTCAGATAAAGAGGTGGAAGGAATGGTGGAGAAATTGGGAAATATTCGTGATTGTATTTTAGATTCTGAACAAAGGGCTAATGGGCACCTAAAGAAAACAGTACATAAGGTCAGAAGCTCTTCTAGGGCTCCCAGAAGACCCTCTAGACTTAATCTATGAGTTACAACTATCTCTTTTGGAACGTACGAGGTATAGGGACCTTGACACGCAAGTTATGGAAGTTGGTGAGAAGGTATAAGCCGAGAATAGTAGTGGTAGCGGAGCCTTGGCAAACATCGGATAGAATGGGCATTTTACAGAAGAAACTAAACTTTAATTTTTGCTTATCGAACAATAGCGTGGATGGAAAACTTTGGATCATGTGGGTGATGAAGTACATGCTAATTTGATGAGTAAAAGTAACCAACAAATCACTTGTCTGGTGATAGAAGGTAATTACCGGATGCTGGTTTCTTTTACTTATACGAAATGCACGGCTGCAGAAAGAAGATTGCTCTGGTTAAAATTAGAAGAGGTGAATTATTCACATATTCCCTGGGTAGTGGTTGGAGATTTTAATAGTATCAGAAATAATTCAGAAAGGCATGGAGGCCGACCTCGACCAATGGGTGCTATGGAGGACTTTAATCAGTTTATTGACAATTGTGGTTTGATGGAAATACGCCAGATGGTAGGGAACCTTATTCTGGTGTAATGGTCAAATGGCTGGACTAGGAGTTGGGCAAAATTGGATAGATTATTGTATGATTCTAATTGCTTGGAGAAATTTCCAAATATTCATATGAGGTATTTAGCTCATACCATGTCGGACCATGCACCAATGCTGATTTGGCTATAGATTAATATAGTTCGTTATGGCCCTATGCCGTTTAAATCCCAACAAATGTGGACTACACATGAGAACTTTAAGGATTGTGTGTTAAAGATATGGGAATGGAACTCAGATGAAAGCGGTTTATGGCGTCGAGTTGGAAAACTAAAAAGGTTGAGGATGCACTACGTAAATGGAACAAAGAGGTGTTTGGGTGGACGTAGAAACACATTCAGCGACTAGAAAAAGAGTTAGAAGAGTTGGATGCTAGCCTACAAGCTGCTTACTCGGAGGAGATCAAGTATATCTACTTAGCGACAAAAGTACAACTTGACACTTGGGAGAAGAGATAAGGAATGCACCTAGCACAAATAGCAAAGCAGATGTGGATTGAGAAAGGTGAAGTCAGTAATCAGTTTTTTAAGCAATTTAACGGCAGGACCTTTTTACAGGGTCAAGGAGATGAGACTAAGGAATGGTACAGTGCTTGAAAATCATGAGGCAATCCATTACATAGCGGTTGATTATTTTGAAAAATTTTTAGGAGCTAGACCTAGGAAAGACCAACCAGACCTATCAGCTTGGATTTAACACATTATTTCAGAGGCAGAGAGCGAGGAAATTAGGATGTTACCTATTCCCAGGAGGTCAAAGATACAGTTTTTTCTATCCCAACGAACAGTATTCCTGGTCATGATGGATTTGGCTCAGGATTCTATAAATCTTGTTGGGATATAGTGGGTGAGGATGTTGTGGAGGCAGTGTGCGATGTTTTTCTAGGTACTGATATTCCAAGATTCTACTCTTCCTCCTATGTGATTCTAATTCCTAAGACTGATCCCCCTTCGAGTTTTGACAAGTTCAGGCCAATAAGTTTATGTTTAATAATATATAAGGTCTAGTCGAAAATTCAGGTAAAAATAATAGCTTTAATATTACCAAGAATTATTTCTATGGAGCAAGGTGCTTTTATTCCGGGGAGATGTATCTTTGATAATATTACTCTGTCTC